TGGTGCCAATTCAGATTGAGGTCACCAGTGAAGAGCAACCGAGAACTCATACGGAATTTTCCGACAGTGACCAAGATGGAGTTGTGTCTGACCACAGTGACTACATTCATGTGGAAGGGTCATCCTTTTGCAGTGAAAGTGACTTTGATCACTTTTCTTTCACATCTTCTGAAAGCTTTTATGGATCCAGCCACCATCACCACCACCATCACCACCACCACCATCACCGGCACCTCATCAGTTCCTGCAAAGGCAGATGCCCTGCCTCCTACACTCGATTTACCACAATGTTGAAACATGAAAGAGCAAAACATGAAAATCTTGAAGAACCCAGAAGGCAAGAAATGGACCCTGGCCTTTCCAAACTTGCATTTCTAGTCAGTCCTGTGCCTTTCCGGAGGAAAAAAAATTCAACTCCCAAAAAACAGACTGAAAAGGCAAAATGTAAAACATCTGTATTTGAGGCCCTGGACTCTGCCCTCAAAGATATTTGTGACCAAATTAAAGCTGAAAAGAGAAGGGGAAGTTTGCCAGACAACAGTATATTGCACCGTCTTATCAGTGAACTGCTGCCAGATATTCCTGAAAGGCATTCATCCCTTAATGCTGTAAAAAGGAGCCCCATGCACCAACCTTTCCACCCACTGCCTCAAGACGGTGCTATTCATTGCCCATTGTACCAGCATGAATGTGAGAGAATGCCTCACAGTGCCTCCTCCCAGGACGTGGCCACAACCAACGACAACTACCACCACCAAGACCATGATAGTGCACTGACTCTCCAAGGTGGACGAACTTTTCTTTCTTTTTGCCTGTGGTTCAGATACCCACCCTCCAGCTCTTTCATTTCCATTCCTACATCTCGTCCTTCCTGAGCTGTGAGACCACGTGGCATCGCTGTGTGTTGTGAAGCAGGTGCTCGATGTTCAGTCATGTCTTACTGAGTATTCCTCATTTGCCCATGTGATGTTTGGACTTGATGTGTGGCTTAAAGTGATCATCAATTCACAAAAATTTACTTTCTCAAAATCAAAAGGGAAAACTATGTTGTAGCTTAATGTTACGGTTGAAATAATTGTTACTTAACATCGAGACAATCGAGTAAACAATTTACCAAATGAAAAAGAATATTTCAGGACAGAAACTATAATTTAGTAGCAGTATCCTTAAGAGCTCTTTTTTCATTTTAAAATAAATCAAAACCAATAGTTTTTAACAAAGTTTTATTTGATTTTTATATTAACTTTATAGTCATTCATTCATTCAATAAATAATTTGCCCACATTCTATATAGAAGATACCATATCAAAACATTCAGGAAGCAAAAACTGAAATATGTGATGTAGTAATTGATGGACAATTACAGAGATTAGGATTTGTTTAATAACTTTCTCCATTTGAAGGAAACGACTGAGATAAAATTTTTGTGAATGTATCTTTAAGCTGTTATATAAAAGTCTCATTTCCATCATTCAGTGTTTTCATTCTCCCTTCTTTTCCATTCCTTAATTCATTTTCTATTTCTGCTATAACAATCTTATATTGAAATTTGAATTAGACTGTTTAGACTAAAAGTGACTCTCAAGTCTGTTTTCATAGATAGCTTTTAAGTGGCAACACAAAGACAAACAGTAATTCAAATACAGAGAACATTTTTTGAGATTTACATAAAGTAAAAACACAGTGTATTTTAATATTTTTATCTAATTCTTTTCATTAATTCTTAAAATGCATCTGTTTACTATGTTAATTTT